GCACTCCGACTGTTCCCGGAATGCTACTACCCCACCCGCGTCGATGCCGTACTAGAACCCTCAAAAAAATATGAGATTGGTGTGAGAGAAAATCAAAAAAACCTCTTATATTCTTATGCCCCATATCCCGCTAAAAGTAAACCGTATTCCCACCGATCTCCGACTACTTTGTTTCAGCCCCAACCGTCCATTCTATGGTAACAGGGGATAGATTATCGCCTGCGTGATTGGTGGCACGGAGTTGAAATCATATCACGTGACTCTGTGACTAAGATCCAGCGAATTAACTAGTTAACTTAACTAACTCTATGCGAGGATCCAGACGAATGGAAGTTTAGTAGTGAGGTATTATTTCGCCAAAATTTTGAGTTAACTATCTACGTGGGGAGGATTGTTGACGGCTTTTAGAGCTTCTCGTTAGCTAGTTTAGTTATCATCACTTAATTACTAAGAATTATTGGCATTCTCTTGCTTCGAGAAGATTAAGATTGGTGAGGGTTATTTATTTTCTTGGTTGCCCGTCGGGGTCTCGAGTGCTTGCTGTCACTTGAAAGCAAAATGCTGGGTACCTATGGTGTGTTTCAACCAATACCCCACCCACAAAACACTCGACATTAACCTCATCCAGATGCCCGAAATCTCCCCTTGTTCTATCTTAACTTTCCAAACGTCCAAATCGATCTGGACCTTTCTTTCCATTAGACACATCCTTATTCCATTCCATGGAAGCTTTTCTTAACCTGCAATTCCCAACTGCCCGGATAACTATATAGCAGATAGGAGGAGAATTATTATTAAAATGGCAGAGTAACAGACCCCAAGTCCCCCCTTGTCTAGCTTCCTCTGCAAGCCACCATCCCGTTCAGCCAACTCTCTCCAGACAAATTCAATTCAATTAGCGGCACTCTGTCGAACCTTTTCTTAGTTTCTGTGCATGGAACGTCGGCAGGGATGCGTGGGGTAAAATATTCATGGATGGTTGTTCGCATGATGCAAAATCGCGTGGTGGCGGGGCGTCGGTTTTTCGCGTCCACACAAGCGTCGAGATTGGACTCTTGGTATATCCAAAGGTTTCTGTCATGGGGCCTGCATGCGTTTTCTATCGCTTGTTGGAACTTTTTTTTAAATTTTTATAAAAAGACTTTTTTATGTCTGGTTTTATAAAAAGACTTTTTATCAAGCGAGCAAGTCGAGCGCCCGAACCCGTCAAGCGAGCAAGTCGAGCGCCCCTAATGAAAAAAAAAAAAAAAAAAAAAAAAAGTTTCGGTTCCTGTCGGGTTGATTTAATAGTTTCCTCGATTCTTCAAAAGATGGTTTGAGGCTTCATGGGAAGCGTTGAACTTCGGGTAGATAGGGGAGGGTCGGCATGTACATGTATAAGACGGATTCGGAAAATGTAAACGGCTTTTGAGGAAAGATGGGAACAGAGTCATAGAAAGTAAGAAAGTTAAAAAGCAAAATGCCCAACGGAATTTATTATAATAAGACTCTTCTTTTCCATCTTCCATCTTCTCGTGGAATCTCGGGATTGGAAATTATCATTGTCGATATACGGTTAACCAGACAAGGCTTCAAACCCTTTATGGAAACATCACGAAATGGGCGAGATGTGTGAAAATGGGTACAGTTCTCGCAGCGGCATCAAGGAGGGAAAATCAGCAATTGTAGGAGCCGTTTTCATCGACGGATTTTAAATGAAATGCAATGCCCGTCCAAGAAATTTAAGCAACAGTGGCAAATACTTGATGATGCCCGTTGTCCAACAATGCAGTTATGTCTGCGGGAACAATTCTCTTTCCTTACGGAGCTTGGAAGCAAAAGATATTGCTCCGTGCAACCACATATGAATGGAGAATGCAGAACCCCATTCCTCCATACACAACATTCCAATATTTGAAAACCTCGTATTAAAATATTATATATGTACAGGTTGCCCTCGAGGTAGGAGGAATAGTACCAGAAAGAAAAGGGGGGAAGTCACTCAGAATTACTCCCTTTCCGTATCCTGAGAAGAGAAGCATGTCTACAAATTATCATCACCCAGGTAAATTCCGCAGTTGCAAAAACCCAGCACCCTTCTCTGCAATACCCGCATGGACAGGCTCCGTATTAAAGGATATCCCGACCTCCTCACAATTTGACACAGCATGTCCAGCAATCGAGCTGCGTAGTGCCATTCAATTGTTAGTGAGAAACCGCTTATTTGGATATGATACGACGCGGGAAGGTTCGAATCTTGGCCCCAACAACAGAAAGACAAGCGTTGGAGCGTTAGGTAACAGATTGTAGCGTAGGGCTGGAACTATGAGATTGATTGATGGATGGATAGGCGGATGGAAGGGTAACATGCTTTTTAAGAGAAATAGCCTAGCCGGCAAAGAGTCGTGGTACATTCGTGTCCGGTCG